TCGGAAGATGAATCCATGATTAGAATTTTAAAAAAGAAGAAGAAAAAGAAAAAGCAAAGCTTGCTAGTTTAAAAGGACAGTGGCATTTCTTCCACCCCTGCTGCAGCAGGCAAGGGAGATGCCATATTTGATGAGGGTTAGAACTGTAGTTCGACTCACTGAAGCAACTGGGTTCTTCCACAGTGGATGATGTCATCAAAGGGAAATTATTGCAGCCTGGTTGCTAGTGGCTACAATCTAGCAAGGCTTAGAGGCGGAACAGCCTTCTTAATCAGGTCCTGCTACGACTGATGATGACTAAGCTCCAAGTATAACAGACAGAACTGGTTTGAGAATTTTAAAGCACTCACAGCACAGCTTCTATAGCTTCAGTGGAGACTATTTAGTAAGACAATAGAAACATTATTTCTTCTTGATTTTAAGATAAAAATAAGAAACAAAGTATTTAATAGAGATGAGAAAAGGAAATGCTAGATGTAGACAATACCCCCTTTCATTTCTTTTTTTTTGTCCCTTTTTATTTCTAATGTAGAAAAATGGGAGCATTACTGTAATAAGGTATATACTTTTATAACTGTGCTAATTACACACAGGAATGTCATGGGAGCCATAACAATAAAATAAAAAATTTTAAAAAACTACAACATACCAAAGGTTTCTCAAGAGACTTGGGTTTAAGTCTATTCTTAATTGTCTAAAATGTACAGCAGCCTTCTACTGGGAATTAAAAAACCCGAATAACTAAAGGGTTGAAGGATGTATAATCTCATTTATTACTACCCCCTCAGGAGCCTGCGGTTTCCTTCTTTCAAGAAATTAGCCAAAGGTATATTTTAGCTTTAGAGGAGAAAAAAAAAAAAAAAAAACTTAACATACTAAGAACTTAACTATTATTTTGTGGAAACTATGCAAACAAAGATTTGCTAAACAGGAGATTTTCCTATCTTTCCTATATTCCTACTTTACAAAGATCTTTTTTTAAGGCTTTTAGTATGTCTATTTATCTCAAAGTAAGATATTCCAATTTTCTCTTTGCTACAATTTTTTTAAATTTCAGAAATAAAGCAAATGTTTGTTTGAAACTGCCATTCCAAATAACAACAACAAAAACCAGACATTCATTTAAGATCAGAGTTAAAATTTTTACAGCTACCTCTGAGGTGACTCCTCTCGGTGAGGAGCTTTCTCCTGAAATACCTATGTCTGCAATGCCACTGAATACATAGGTGCTGTTCACTGGAAGCATCTGCACAGAACTCAGGAGTTCCATAAAATCTGTTTTCCTAAATATCAAATGAGACATCTTCTAAGGTCCACTCCAACTGTATGTGCTTACATGAAAACTGAAGGTGAGGGAAGGAAAAAGAAGAGCAATTCTATTTAATTTGTCTAGCACAATTAAGTTTTTTGGATTTTTAAAATTGTTTAGGATTATGCCATTTTCTGTATTTTAAAAAATTTGAATCCAAGATAAGCAGAGCATCTTTTTTTTAAAAAAAAAAATGTTTTATTTAACTTTATTTATTTGACCAGAGAGAGAGAGAAGAAGAAAGTGAGAAAGCAAGCCACCAGGTCTAGGACTCGAACCATGGTCGGCCATGTGGGAGTCCAGCGCATCTTACAAAGATTTACCTGGAATCTGGGAGTCAAGTTTACAGTTAAGGAGTAAAGATTCCAATTACGGCCACAGGAATATTCTACTTAATCCTGATTGTTTTTGTTTTGCTTTCTCTATTTTTCAGATTTGCTTAGAAAAAATTTTTAAAGAAGGCTTTATCAAAGAACTAACTTTACTAAACTAGCTCAGTATTAGTTTGGCCACTTGTGATTCTTTGGTATGTTCTACTACCATTAAGACTTGTCTAAAAATACATATTATATGGCATGTATAAATAATTTAGTTTGTTTTTACATGCCTTTACATAAAATGAAAATGTATCTACACATTTTCCTGATACTTTCTGGCACTCTCTTAACCTGATGTTCCTGATCTACAATGCTGTAAATGACAGCACAAATTCGGGGAGGAGGAATATCCACCCTGTAAAATATAGCGACAACGTAGCTTAAGTAAAAGCTTTGTAATTATATCTGAATTCTTTTCAAAGACTGAAAATTGTATGTATATATAACAGACATGAAATTGTATCTGTATGGAATTAAGTTTAAAATGAGACATACCAAATGTTTCATAATGGTTATCACTTGAGGAATAAAGAAGTGGGGAGGAGGGAGGTGCATTCAATGTTTATATAGGTTCACTTTTTTTAATGTTTCAGTTTTTTTTAATTGCCAGAGGGTATGTGCACTCACTAGAGAGGGAGTGAGAAAGAGGGAGAGGAAGAGGGAGCAGGAGAAAGTCCCCACATTGGGACATGGTCACATGGCAACCCATTCTCCTCCATTTCTCCATCCTGTTGGGATTTGGGTAGGCACACACATGTACCTGGCATGGTCTCATGCTACCAGCGCTGAGATTTAAACCACTATAGGCCATGTGGGATCCAGCTTCCATAACCATTATGCCAAGGATTGCCCTACTTTCATATTGATTTTAAGTAAATATATTACTTTTGTAATAATAAATCTGAGAATTTTAAGAGTTCCAATGAGGGAAGCCTAAATATGCCACCCCAAAATATAATCACTTGGCCTATTTTGAGATAATTATTCACTGAGTCTGCAGACACAAGAATTAACTTTAAAAAAATTGTAAGAGAAATTTACATCTATCTACATTAGCAGAGTAAGCAGCAGATGCACGCAGGCTTTCCTGATGCTACCCCTTAACTTTCTTGGAACAGGAAGGAGATTAGGGTACAATTCCTGGTCCAGAAAAACAAGATTCTTTTCATTTCCTCCCCCTCCCCCTTTCTTAGTTAACTCCTAACTTCTGTCCTATATGTTATAAAATCTTCAGTCATTTGGCCTTTTCTAGAGTCATACTTTCAATGGTTTATGTGTATATATATAACTTAAAATTAATGTGTATACCTTTTCTTTATTAACCTGTCTAATTTCATTGATTTCCACTGAACCTCACAGGGCAAATTCCTTTGCCCTATATCAGAAGTAAACAAATCTCTTGGGAGCATCACTGTCATTTTCTCTTGTGGTGAAAGAACCATTATATTTTTTAAGGCATTATTTTATTTAACTTTATTTATTATTTTTTTTTCTTTTTTTTTTTTTTTTAATTTGACCAGAGAGAGAAGGCAAGCCACCAGGTCCGGGACTTGAACCACGGTCAGCCATGTGGAAGTCCAGTGTCCTTAACCACCATGCCACCTGCCGGCCACACCATTACTCACTTAAATGTCTTCCAGTCACACTAAAAGAGGACAATGTAGACTGGGAGGTGTGGCAAAGAGGACTTGGACACAGATTAGGTGTTATGAGGTTTATAAATATAATTTAGGGTGAGGCTTAAGTGGAAAGAGAGAAGACAACCCCAAGAATTACTACGTAGAGCTCAGGGCAAATGCTCAAGATGGAAACCCTGCAGAATCAAAAATACTGCAGTGGTATCAGCACAAAGAATTAAAAATTCAGAAGGGGAAAATATTTTTACTTTCTAATCTCAACTTGATGGAGGATTCTGAATAAATGACCTCTCTGGGATGTGAAAGTAGGGAGGTACTTTCATGTACAGATGACATACCGTAGTAACATTTCTTTACAGTTTACAGTTCTCACCATGGCTATTGGGTTACCCAAATAACATAGCACAAAATTTAAAAGATGAAGAGTTTTATTTCAGAATCATCACACAATGACCACTTTTTTTAAAAATCAGAACCAAAAGCAGACAATATTTTTATACCTAATTTCTTTTCAATGAATTTGTCAAATATCCTCATGTATGTGGACTAAACAAGCTGGTACAAGGACCAGCTTAAAAGAAGATTTTTCAGAGTTCTACTTTTTAGGGGCTGGGTGTCATGATGGCCACCTGCAGTTCAAGTCTGAACATGGAATCTTGCTTTCTCATCTTTCTCCTCTCTCTGTCTGTCTCTGGTGAGCACGCATGCATGATAGCAAACTTAAAATAATAATAAATAATTATTTTTAAAAAGTTCTAACTTGTAGAAACATTTAAGCTCAACTATACCACTATTTACAGTAAGCATAAATAGACTAAATGCTTCAATTGAAAGACAAAATGCTTCAACTGAAAGACAAACACCTATCTAGTGGGCTTCTTAAAGAGTCTAACTATATTATTACAAGTGGGTCTACTAAAAATCATGGATGCAAAAAGGCTGAAAGTAAAAAAGGTTTTAAAGTATAATATGGGGGCCAGCAAGTGGCATAGTGGTTAAGATGCTGGACTCCCACAGGCCGACCAGGGTTCGAGTCCTGGACCTGGGAGCTTGAAAATCCCACCAGATCAATATGCTTCTGTGCCCCAAATCCCAGGAGAATATAGGAAAAGGTACTGCAGTGTGGCCATACCCACTAGTAGGTGATTTCTCACTTTCTCTCTCATTGTCTCTCTCCAGTGAACACAAATGCCCCAGGACAAAAACCTAAAAAAATAAATAAATAAATAAAAGGCAAACCAAATCCAAAGTCAGTATCAAATTAGAATTCAAGGTAAAAAGATATAATTAGAAATAGAGACATTAAAAAATAAAAGTGGCTCTATTCACCAGAAAGTTATAACCTAATAGCATGAGGCCAAAGCACTGGGTTGTCGGAGAAGTCATGACTCCCTTTTGCATAGAAAAACAGAAAAAATGCAACATGGCTTTTCTGACTACTCAATTTATTATATAAAGCAAAAATTGGCAGAATGATAAGTAGCAGTAGGTAAATCTACAATTACTAGGAAAAAGATTCAACATCTCCCTATCAAATACTTACAGGAAAATAATGAAAAAACAGTAAGAAAACATGATTTCAACAGAGTAACAAAGTTTGTTATTCTGAACAAATGAACACATAGAGAACACTGAAACAAAAAGCTTTACATCATATACTCTTAACATAGCATACTTGGAGTGCTTGGTTTGTTACTGGGCCACAATGCAAGTTGCAAACAATAAAACAAAAAACAAAAAACAACTGAAATTACATAATGTATAAATTAGCTGACCACAATGCAATAATTTATAAATCTTATTAACATTATAACAGGAGGGGCCAGCAGGTGATGTGGTGGTTAAGGGCACTGGACTCCCACATGGCTGACCAAGGTTCAAGTCCCGAACCTGGTAGCTTGCTTTCTCACTTTCTCTCTCTCTCTTCCTCTCTCTCTCTCTTTCTTTCACTCTCACTCTGACCCTCTCTGGTCAAATTAAAAATATATAAACAAATAAATAAAGTTAAATAAAATAATTCTTGAAAAAAGCTGTGCTTTTAAATACACATACACACACACAATGGAAAATTTCTCTTATGTTTGGAAATTATGAACTACACTTCTAAATAACATACATGCCAAAGTAGCTGTTATGGAAGTGCTAAAATATTTTTATTTAGTAATAATAATAATAAAGGCTTATAGCATAGAAAGAAACAGTATCTAAAGAGAAACATATAGTTTTAAATATATTTAAAACACCACGGGACCAGCAGGTGGCGTGGTGGTTAAGGTGCTGGACACTCCCACATGGCTGACCACGGTTTGAGTCCCGGACCTGGCAGCTTGCTTTCTCAATCTTTCTCTCTCTCTGTCCCTCTCTGGTCAAATAAAATAATAAATGAATGAATAAATAAAATAAATAATTATTAAAAAATATATATATACACATTTAAACATATATATACACGAAAGAGCCATTACACAAAATATGACTTAACTATTAGCATTTTCTAAGTTGTCAGAGACAACAGGTGGCATGGTCATTAGAAGCGCTGGACATCCACATGGCTAACCACAGTTTGAGTCTCGGACCTGGTGGCTTGCTTTCTCAGTTTCCTCTCTCTTGCTCTGTCCACCTCTGATCAAATTAAATAAACAAATAAAGCTAAATAAAATACTTTAGAAAATATTTTCTAAGTTCTCCCAAGGACAGTTCATAGATAATATTCTACATGCACAAAAAAAAAATTAATTAAGGGAACCAGCAGTTAGCGTAATGGCTATGTCGCTGGACTCCCACGTAGTCGACCGCGGTTCGTGTCCCGGACCCGGGGGCTTAAAACTCACGACAGGCAGGTGTGCGTGCGTGCCCAAGATCCCGAGAGGAGAATGGAGGAGAAGGGATTGCAGCGTGACCATCCCCCCTGGGGGGTGATTTCTCGCTTTCTGTCTCTATGTCTCTCTGTCTGTCTGGCGAGCACACGCGCCCTACAGTGAAAATCTCTCAAAAAAAAAATTAATTAAGTATATCATGACTTTAGAGTAAGAGAGGTTGAAACAAGAGCACATGTACAAAAAAATTCATTGACAATTTTAATAAACTTTTCTTTGAAGAAAAAAATTCACTTGTTTTTATTTTTGCAGAGTATTGATAATAACTATAGATGGTACGTGAGGTACAAATCACCCATTTGGTAAAATTAAGCTTTTTTCCAATTACCTTGCTTTATTTCTTTCTTATTTTAGTTGTACTATAGGGTGTGTGAGCTTGCCAGAGAGAAGGAGAGAGAGAGGGAAAGTGAGAAATCATGCCCCCAAGGGATTGATCATGCCACAGTCTTCTCTTCTAGTCTCCTCTCAGGATTTTAGGTGGGCACAAACATGTACCCAGTGTGATTTTTAAGCCATCGTGTCCAGTACTTGAACCACATAGTCAGCCATGTAGGATCTAGTGTCTTAACCTCCCTGCCACCTGTTCTCTCCTCCCTAGTCTTTCTGATGATACCCATCTGTTACCTGGTTGGCCTCCCACTGGTATTTTAGGCTAATTTTATCAAGCTCTAGTTTATTAATAACAAGTTCTTTTCCCTAGGTCATTAGGAACATCCTAAATTATAATATTTCACAGATTTACTATGGGTTAGCTAAGTGCAGCTACCTTATTTTATATAAAAACAGAAATTTGGACAGTCCCCTACTTCCACATACATTAAGCAGGTATAGGTTAATAGCCTTGCTCTAACTGGAGACTCAGGTGCAGAAAATGTTTACAGGGTAGTTGGCAATAGAATGTGCAGGGTGTCACATGTATTAAGAGCATGACCCTGCTTTGAATAAGTATCAGGTGAACTTTAGATTTATTTATTTATTTCTAAAAATAATTCTGAGTAGACCATTTGAAAGTGTTGACCTTTTTCCAACAGCCAGCTATTAAATGGTAGTAGAAGCATTGTTGACTTCACTTTAACAATTTCTAAAAAAAGATCATTTACCGAAGAATCACAATGTAACCATTTTATGCTTTCTAAAAGGCTTAAAGGTTCATGCTGCAAAACTCAACTTTAAATTTTGACATGTTGCCAAATGTCTACTCATTAAAACAACACTACCCATGTTACTGGTGGATGCCAGGTACTATAAAACTGAAATCACCTGTCGTCTACTGAAGACAACATGCACAAACATAACCTTTGAAACTCTGGAGGCCAAGTCATATTCTAGTTCAGAAAACTTTTCTTGGATATCTGACCTAAACCACAACTTTATACCATTAGAAATTTCTTCTTGCTTCTAAGTCCACAGATGAGGATACTAATGTTTACTAAAAACTATTCTTAGATTATTAATGTTTTCTAATTGTAATTAGTACCAGAATTTCACTATTCATACTCATAGAAAGCAACCGACACTATCTTAGCAGCATTTAGACTGTTAATCTTTAGCCACAATTCTAGCATTAATTTTCAAAACATTGCTTGCACATTTCTCTTCTGAACTACTACATCAACTTCTCTTGCCACCTTCCAATCCATTTGCCCACACAGCAGCTCAATGAGCTTTTAAAATTACAAAACTCGTATCACTCTCTTACTTTAAAACTCTCAGTGGTATCCTACCACTCTTAGGAAAAAGTATCAAAACAACATATTTTTCTTTTTCCTTTGCGAGATTTGGAATTCTTCTATAAGACTTATCCCTTTTGTCCCATTTTGTTCAATTATTTTGAACAGTTTATAACATTTATAACAGATATATGGGCTTACTTTATAATTAGGTTATAATCCATATCACAGTGTTGATTTTGTTGTTTAAATTATTCCATTAAGAGCCTGTCCAGGTAAGCCTCTATGTTCCTTTGACATGCCCCCATCATTTTGTTGTTTATGTACTGCCTTCCTTCTGACATTTTAAGAAACCCCCCTCTGGGCTCATCTTGTGTTTTCCCCGACCCGGTCCATTAGCCATGTCTCCAAAGCAATCCAAGTTACTACCAAATAGTAAAGTCAACTACGTAGGATTTTTATGAACCCAGGATAATCCATCTGAATGTCATGAGGTAATTTGTTTGATAGCTGAATAACATGTACCTAAGTCTAAACTTTTGGCACCCAAGCCAAAATTGCCACAAAGGACTTCCACGTATAAACAGCAACACTTCCACCATTTCTTCTACTATAGTCTTTTTTTTTTTTTAATTACAATGAAGTAGGTAAGTAAACAGATTATTTTTCTCTTCATTTTTCAGGTAAGAGAACTGAGAAACAGTAAGTGATGACACTCACTAATCTCAGGTAGATTATATATTTTTTTCAAATTTATTTATTTATTTCATGAAAGAGAAAATATACACAAGCATCCCAACAGGGTCTTCCTGGAAGGCCCCCACAGCCTCCCTAGTCAGCCATGGACATAAACAATGAACTCTATCTGTTCAGTGCAACTGGGGAACTGAAATCTGAGACCTCCCATCTGACATTGCTTGAGCCATGCTACCACTGCACCACCACACTGGCCAGCTAAATATTAACATTATCATATTATCTTCTGTAGTATTCTCCTGGCTTCCCATCCTTGATGTCAATACCACATTGGTGTGCTCCCATGCAATACAGCTGTACTGCTATAGGTAAGTCACATTGTTCCTGCTATACTACTGAATAGCTTACTGGCTTTACAGGTGTCTAGATAAACCAAAATTTTATCTAGAATAGTTTAACAAATAAAAACAAGAAACTCTAAAAACTAAGAGAAAGTCATGTTTAGTTCAGTATGTTAAATATATGAATATTTTAAATAGCAAACTCTTAATGAGCTCCTACTGTATATGCATGCTAATGTACTTGATATAGTGAGAAGTGAATAAACATGGCTGCCCATGATATACTAATATCACTCCCAACAAAGTTTGGAAATAACAAAATATACGATTGTTCATCAAGAGTTAAACCAGCGACTGTTTTTTGCCATAGGGTACTAATGATCGCTGGAGAGAGACAGGGGAAAGTGAAAAATCACCCCCCAGAGGAAGACCATGTCACAATCCCTTTTCCTCCACGTTCCTCCTGGGATCTGGGGCACAAACACATATGCACCTGGCATGATTTTCAAGCTGCCAGCTCTGTGATCCAAACTACATAGTCAGCCACCTGGAAATCCTGTATCTTAATCACCACGCCACCTGCTGGCCCCAAGAGATAAACTAGTTTTAAAGACAATAATGTATACATGGAAATAAATGTACAAGTCAACAGGAATTAATATGTACAAGTGAACAAGAATTACTAAGATAAATTTAGTGAAAAAATGTGTAATTTAATCTAGGAACCGGGAAGTATATAAACAAGACAAAGTCAAGAAATCAAACGTAATAATAGAAGCAATACAGTTTACTACATAGGAGGGGCCCTTAACTTGAGAAGGTAAAGTTTTCTAGAGGGACTGAGGGCTAACCTGAAAAGCAAAGTACAAGCAATAACTGATGAAATCTAACATTTATAAGGCTCAAGGCAACAGTTCAAAAGACAGCCCATTCACCATGTGATTAAATATTTATAAGTTTTATATCAAGCTGAAAAACTATTAATGGGGCCAGCTGGTGTCATGGTAGTTGAGGTGGCTGGATCTCACGTGGCCAACTGCACTATTAAGAATCTTGAACAGAGTGGCTTGAAAAACATGCCAGGTACATGTGTGTGAGTGTCCATAATCTCGAAAGGAGAAATGGAGGAAAATGGTTGTGGCGTGACCATCCCCCACAGGGGATGCTTTCTCACATCGCCTCCCACCTCCCCCATGTCTCTCTCTCAACAAGCACATGTGCCCTCTATCAAAATTTAAAAATAAAAAAGGAAAAAAATAAAATTGAAAATATGTTCTATCCTTCTACATTAACAAATATATCTTATGATGTCCTGGAAGCTTAGGTTTAGTCGTAAATTCTCAACCAAATGTTTAACTATTTGGAAAATATCGAAAAGTATAAAGAAATAAAAAGTACCCAAATTCCAACACCGAGAGAAAAAACATTATCCTAGTGCATTTTCTTCTCATTCGTCTCCCTTTCTGTGTAGTACTTAAAGAGAACTGTGATCTTATATATACAGACTTGATCCTTTTTGTATAAGCCCTCCACTCTTAGTTTATAATACAACATGGCAGTCACCTTATTCACTGACCCGGTATGCATTTGGCAGCTAGCTTATCTTAAAAAAGAATTCTTAAATTGCAACTGAGTGTGGTCTACAGACCCCTAGAGATCTCCACAAATCTTTTTCAGGAGGATCTATAACGTTAAAAACATTCTCTATAATATGAAGACATCTGTATTACTTTCTTGTAACTACTGTATCACAAACTTAGTGGCTTCGAACACAAATTAATTCTCTCTCAGTTTCAGAGATTAGAAGTTTAATAACAGGCTCTCAGCAAGGATGTATTCCTTCGCAAACTCCATGGGAAAAATCGTTTCCTGGACTTTTCTAGCTTTTAGAGGCCATCTTCATTTCCTGGCTCATGGCTTCTTCCTCACAGCACTGCAACCTCTTGCTTCAGTTATCACATCTACTACTATTGACTCTATTCCTAACTCTTTCTCTTAAGGACCCCTGTAATCACACTGAGACCACTCAAATAATCCAAGATTATTTCCCCATATTAAGATACTTAATTAAATCACAAAGTCCCTTTTATGATATAAGGTAACACAACTATGAGTTCCAGGAATTAGCATGTGGAGAGGCCAGTTTTCAGCTGATCACAACATTGTCTTTTCCATTGTATTAACCATGGCATTCAAAATGGTGCAAAACAACAGGGGTAAAATCGCTGACATCTAGCACAAATCAAAGCAACACATACTAAAAATCACTGTATTTTCACCCACTATACACTTGCAACGAACGAAAGCCTGATACAGTTCCAAAAGCCCTGGAAACAACAGTAAATACTCATTTTGGGGGCCAGACAGTGGTGCAGCAGTAAAACATGAAGCTTGATGAGACTGACCCACTTGGGAAGGTTCTGAGTTGGTGTCGAGACCTTCCTGAGCACCCGGGCACTTCCATGCCCATAATGGAGGACTAGCTGAGGTTGAGGGCGGCATCAAAACCCTGTTGGGGATACTGTCTGTCTCCATTGCTCATGAAAGACAAACTTTAAAAATCATTATTTTACTGAACTATAACTCTTGAGTACATATATATCCTTTTAATATTCTTTGTGACAAGTGGAGAAGTGATTAGGATACAGATACTGGGAGGAGATGGCCATCTACAGGCCAAGGAGATAGGCCTCTGAAGAAATCAATCTTGCCAAAACCAGAATGGTGAGAAAATAAACCTGCTGTTTCAGCTAGTCAGTCTGTGGTACTCTGTTATGCCAGCCCTAGCAATTTTCCAAATGACTAATGCATGATATTATAAAATCATGCATGTGTAATAGATTTATTCAAAGCATAAAATAGGCCAATGGATCTTAACACAGCACTAAATGTTCATTAATATGGCTTCCACATTGAAATTAACCCTTAAGAAATTATCATTTGTCACCTTTTGGTATAGTGTCGAACAATATCCACAATGATCTGAGAAGTTATTTCTTCTTTTTCTGACTAAAATAGTATAAGACTAAATTTTCTTACATATTTATGTATTCCAACCCAAACATCATGAGAGTTTGAAGCATATATAAGAAACTAGTTGTTATTTATTTGTTTGTTTGTTTTTACTTTTTGCATGTGTTGGCCAGAGAGAGGGGAGGAATTTAAAAAGTACCCTCCTTCCCCAGGGAATGGTCACACTGCAATCTTCTCTCTTCCATTTCCCCTCCCTACAGGATTCTGGGCGTGCACGCACAAACACACACACACACACACACACACACACACACACACACGCACAGTGTATTTCTCAAGCAGCTAGGTCTGCGACTCGAAATGCACAGTTGGCCATGTGGGATCCAGCTTCCTTATCCACCATGCCACCAGCTGGCCCTAGCTGTCCTTTATTAAACAAGACGTTACAGGCAACTTACAAAAATGTGAAACAACACAATTTTTCTCCCTAAATTCATTGGTAAAAGTTTTTAAATTCTTCTGTTTTAATTTCTAATATGGTAAACACTGATAGCTGTAACCTATATTTAGAGAAAAAGAAGCTTGTCACAATCTCCCCACATTTTTTTTTTTTCTGTTAGTGCATACACACACATGAGAAAAAGAGAGAGAAAGCACTTTTTCGTGGGTCCTCTGGCTTCTCTAGTCTGGATGCCCAGTGCATTTCGGGCCAACCCAAGGATTTGAACTCATGGTTGACCTCATGGCCTGCAGCCTTATAGAGTACTACATCACTACTCTGCCACAATAGCTCGCCCCCAATAATTTTGTAATAGTGGAAAGGGATTTTGAGAACAAAAAGCCTAGGAACTACTACCTTGAAAGATATATCACCAGGAATATTACTCAGAGTGAGGTATTTTGTGGATATTGGGAGAATGCTTTTGTTTAATTTTTTTCCTTTATTTATGACACAGCATACACACACACTCACGACAGAGTAAGACAGAGTGAGAAAAAGAGAGAGACAGAGGAGTACCCGCCACTGGGTCTGGTCACGCCACAATCCACTCCTGCCCCGAGTCTTGGAACCTGGAGGATCCTGTGCTCTCATGCATGAGCACAGCCTGTCTCAGGGACAGGTCAGGGATTTGAGCAGGTCACTATGTGAGACCCAGCTTCTCTTGAGCATTATCACTACACCACAGAGCAATCCTATTTTACTTCTTAAAGTCTATGGTAGCTACTTCCTTCAAAATTAATAGTAGCTACTATTATCACTGTATTGTACGTGACTTTTCCAATGACCCAATATATACATTGATAACTTCCTAAAAGTCTGTAATTCCAAGATACTATAAAATAAACCTATGAATACTGCCCATCATCATAAATAATAAATGTCCATACTATATAATACTGGTTTTCCTGTGGCATTAATTCTTCTGATTCAATTGGGAAGATATAGATAAACATTATAACAAGAGCTCTGTGAAAATCATTGCTATTTACTCTAATCATCTTCCTAAAATTCACTTTATTACTAGATAGTAAATGTTCTACAATGTTACTAAGAAACATATTGTCTTATATTAGTAATCGAGTGTCTGCTAAGCAACAGATTAGGTCTTTCTTGATTAGGTCTTTCTCTTAGAGATACTGTGAATCACTTAACTAAACAGGGTCTCTTAATTACTTGTTGCTACAAAGCTTAGAGGCAAAGGGGGCCCTGCTAAGCCGGCGGTGGCAGGAGGCGGGCGGGCGCCAAGGCTGCGTCCGACCGCGGGACGTCGCGGGCCCTTCCGGGCTCTGCATGTCCCCCCGGGGCCTGCAACAGAAAGAACCTTTAACTGCCTTAAACCAACTGAGAAATACACTGTAGAGAAGGATTTTCTCTACCTATGGACAGTGAGAAGATGATGGATACCAGCCCTGCATTACCTCAGGCAAGAACAGGAACTACCCTGCCATTCTTAGGGAA